AACCCAAATTTAATAGAGTCACTCATCATCGATTATTGTAGGGAGAGAAAATGGCATCCTCTAGACATCGTGTAGAGCATAGAAACTACTTGTTTGCAACCTTCACTTTCACGATGCTAGCAAAAACATCTTACATCGGAAAAAGAGTAAACTCAAATCACTTTTTTCTCCTTTTTTTTACGGCTCGAAATATAACCTTTTAACCAGTGTTTTGAAAACTGGACCGGTCCAACCGGTCCAACCGGGAATGGGTTACTTGGCCAGATCCGAGTTGAGTCAAAATCCGGATTTGAGTTAAACCAACAAAACCGGCCAAAAACTAGTAAAACCGGTGAACTGGTTCTATGTCAAAACCGGGTTCCTAAAATTTCAGTCAAAATTTTGATTTTTTTAGTCAAAAAATTTAAACTATAATTTATAATCACTATTAATTTACCTTCAAATTTATTTTCATTTTTTATTTTAAACAAAAACAAATTTTTTATATACAAAATAGATTAAAATCTTGTTACGTACATGTTTTAATGATAATTGTTACATGATAAATCGTATTTAATATTTTATTATTATAATTTGAAATGGTCTAATATACTATTTTCTTATAATTTTATTTTGGTAAAGAGATGAAGTTATATTAAAAATGTAGGAATTTCAAAAAAAAATAACAAAATGTAGGAATATTTTTTTTTATAAAATTATAATACTTTTATTAGTGTTAACTAGGACTCGAACCCCTCGCGGGGGTAAAGAACATCCAACTACACTTTAAAAAAAATTGCTAACATATCCAAAAATACAATTTATTTCTTTGAAACACATACGAACATAAAATCAAAATCATCTTTAAAGGATTTTAAAACATTGTTTATTATCAATTCTCAAGCCGAGTTAACCCAAATAGGACATATGAAGACTATGTAATAAGAAAATTAAACATATATATGAAATCATATAGAAACTGAACAATATAAATTATTAACATAATTTAAAGAATAACATAAAAGACCTTGAAATTGAAGTTAAACAAAAAAAAAGACGCAAACCTATGCGTTAATAACCACAAAACAGATTTTTTGAAAAAGAAGCAACCCTATGATACATTAATAAAAAGAAAAATATTTGTTTTTTAAAACGCAACTCTATGATGCATCAGTAACCACAAAATAGTTTTTTTTTTTTAAATGCAACTCTATGATGTATTTGTTAGCATATCCATTTGAAAACAATTATTATTGACAACGTATACAAATATGAGTACAATGTAAAAGGTAAATCATGGCAATGTACGTAAGAAAAAGCTACAAAAATATACCTAACTGAAGTCTAAATAACCATAATTTTTTCTAAAAAGATGTAACTCATACATTTTCACAGAATGATAGACACACTTAGGATGCATTGTTAACAAATAAAAGGTTTTTTTAGAATACACAACCTATGATACATTAATAACCATAAAACAAGTTTTTCCGAGAAGACGCAATCATATGATGTATTAAAATAGTTTTTTTTTAAAAGATACAATCCTAAGATGTTTTAATAATCTTAAAATTGTTTTTCCAAAAAAAGCAATCGTAGGATTCATTAACAACCATAAAACAAATTTTAAGATGCAACCAAAAGACGCGACACTTAGTTGCTTTAAAAATCATAAAGTAGTGTTTTCAAAAAAACGCAACCATATGATGGATTAATAACCATAAAATAGATTTAATCAAAAAATACAACTTTTATATGCTTTAATAACTATAAAATAATTTATTTGAAAAAAAAAGACATAACCCTCGGATGTATTAATAATCATCAAACAGACTTTTCCCTAAAAAATGCAATCCTTAGATGTTTTAGTTACCATAAAATAGATTTTTCGAAAAGACGCAATCGTATGATGCTTTAATCACCATAGTTTTTTGAAAAGACGCAATCCTAAGATGATTTTATAATCATAAAAGGGTTTTATGAAAAGATGCAATCATAGGATTTATTAATAACAATAAAACGGGTTTCTCAAAAATATGCAATCATATAAAGCTTTAATAACCATAAAACTGGTTTTTCAAAAATACACGACCATATGATGGATCAATAACTATAAAATAAATATTTCGAAAAGACGGAAGCCTTAGTTGCTTTAATAAACATAAAACGGTGTTTTCAGAAATAAATGCAACCCAATGATGCATTCATAACCATAAAATTAATTTTTGAAAAGACGCAACATTTAAATGTTTTGATAACCATAAAATAGTTTTTTATAAAAAAAATATAACCCTATGATGCATTAATTAAAACATCATAGAGTTTAAAAGTTAGCCATAAATTCTGCATTTGATAAAGAATTCCAAAATTTGTTACACAAATTAATAATTTTAGAAACTTCTACAATAGTAAAAAATTCAATACTTTTGAATAATTTTAAAATAATAGAATGTCATTTTTATCATTCTTATGCTTTAAGTGAATTTTAAAATTAGTAGTCGTATAAAAATACACAAAATGTTCAACAACAAAAATATGTAGTGCTAGAAACAAATATAGAGAACAAATAGTTTTTTTTCGAAAAGACACAATAATATCTGTATTGTCTAAAAAGATCCAAAATTCTTTACACAAATCAATAATTTTAAGAACTTAATCAATAGTAAAAATATCAATATTTTAAAATAATTTAAAAATAATAGATTGACGTTTTTATCTATCTTACGCTTTAAGTGAATTATAGAACCATTAGCCATAATTAACAAAATGATCACCGGGAGAAAATACTAAAACATCTATATATAGGCTAAACAATTTTTTCGAAACGACACAACTCTTAACGATAACCATAAAGCGGTTACTTCAAAAAATAACTAGTTAACAGTTTTTTACGAAAAATCACAACCCAAAAATATTCATTTTTGAAAAGACGCAACTCTTAAAGGAACCAAAAAGCTGTTATTTTTGAAAAGACGCAATTTTTGACGACATAGTGATAATAAAAAAACACAACTCTTGACAAAACTGTTACAAAGAAAAGACGCAACTCTAGATAAAACGGTTTTAACGAAAAGATGCAACTCTTGCAAATAACCATAAAGCGGTTTTTTTCGAGAAGATGCAACTATTTAAAATAACCATAATGCGTTTTTTTTTTAAAATAGAAAAACTAAAACATATATATATATAGGCTAAATGATTATTCAGAATAGATGCAATTTTTATCGATAACCATAAAGTAGTTACTTCAAAAAATAACTATTTAACGGTTACTTTGGAAAAGACGCAACTTTTGAAAAAATAGTTATAATGAAAAGACACAACTCTTGACAAAGCGGTTACAACAAAAAGACGCAACTCTTGACAAAAGCAGTTTTAACGAAAAGATACAACTCTTGCAAATAACCATAAAACATTTTTTTCGAAAAGATGCAACCCTTCAAATTAACCATAATGCGGTTTTTTGAAAAAAAATAGAAAAACTAAAACATATATATATGATTTTTCTGAATAGACGCAATTTTTAGCGATAACCATAAAGCGGTTAATTCGAAAAATAACTATTTAACGGTTAATTCGAAAAATAACTACTTAACGTTATTTTCGAAAAGACGCAATTTTTGACAGAATAGTTATAATGAAAAGACACAACTCTTAACAAAACGGTTACAACAAAAAGACGCAACTCTTGACAAAAGCGGTTTTAACGAAAAGATGCAACTCTTGCAAATAACCATAAAGCGGTTTTTTTAGAAGACGCAACCCTTCAAAATAACCAAAATACGATTTTTTGAAAAAAACAGAAAAACTAAAACATATATATATGCTAAATGATTTTTTTCAATGGACGCAACTTTTAGTGATAACCATAAAGCGGTTATTTCGAAAAATAACTACTTAATGGTTATTTTCGAAAAGACATAACTTTTGACGAAATAGTTATAATGAAAAGACACAACTCTTGACAGAATAATTATAATGAAAAGACACAACTCTTGACAAAACGGTTACAACGAAAAGACACAACTCTTGACAAAAGCGGTTTTAACGAAAAGATGTAACTCTTGCAAATAACCATAAAGCGGTTTTTTTTAGAAGACAATTTTTATTTAAAAATAGAAAAATTAAAACATATATATATGCTAAACGATTTTTCTCAAGGGACGCAACTTTTAGTGATAATCATAAAGCGGTTACTTCGAAAAATAACTACTTAACGGTTATTTTTGAAAAAACGCAACTTTTGACGAAAATAGTTATAATGAAAAGACACAACTCTTGACAAAACGGTTACAACGAAAAGACGCAATTCTTGACAAAACAAGAAAAAGAGTTTGTTTAATCAAATGAATAATTTAATATTGGGGAAGCGTGCAGATTCAAAGACATTTAATGAAGAAATTAAGCCTTAAAAAAAAAAAGAGTTTGTTTAGTCAAATGAATAGCTTAATATTGGGGAAGCGTGCAGATTCAAGGACATTTAATGAAGAATTACGCCTTGAAACTACCCAACCAAGTATCATTGGTCTCTCTTATCTGTTAAAACGTATATATAATACGTTGAAGAATCTTTTTATACTTTCGTAATAGGAACTCTCACATGTGCCTCAAATGTGAATTTAATACCCTCTATTTTATATATGCATGTGTTTTCTATATATATACACACACACACAAAGAAGTCCATGGGAAGGAAGTAAACGAGTAAGTCATCATCGATCATTGTAGGGAGAGAAAATGGCATCGAGACCAGGTTTTCTCACGGACTGGCCATGGTCACCTCTTGGAAGCTTTAAGGTCTTTCATTTCCCCTTTTTACTATATATAACACCCTCTTATATATTTATAATCCGGTTGTTTACATCTATCAATAATCACTGTTTTTTATAAATAATGCACTACTTATTTTTGTCAATTGATTTTGAGTTGGAAGTTGATGATTACTAAAATGAATTTGTTATGTTCATTGGTTGTATTAGAAATAACGTGGAATATAATTCCGTCAAATAATGCAGTACTTGGTATTGGCGCCGCTGGTTATCGACAGCATCTACTCATATGCGACCATGCAAGATCACGAGAAACTTTTGATAGTGGCCGTGACGGTGTGGCGTATAGTTCATAGCCAAATATGGATAAGTTTTTCCCGTTACCAGACTGCAAAGGGAACCAAACGGATCGTGAACAAGTCCATAGAGTTTGCACAAGTCGACCGAGAACAAACATGGGACGATCAGATCATCTTCAACACTCTCATTTTTTACTTAACTAAAGTGTACGTCACAGGGACCAATACCATTCCCTTTTGGCGAACTGATGGAGTGGTCCTAATCGCTCTCCTCCACGCGGGTCTGGTTGAGTTTATCTACTACTGGTTTCACCGAGCCCTTCACCACCACTTCCTCTACTCTCGTTACCATTCTCACCACCACTCCTCCATCGTCACCGAGCCTATCACTTGTACGTATACATACATTTTTCTACATATATGGTGTCTAAATGAATCTAGGGTTGGAAATAAAACGCGGACGCAACTAACTAATATTTAGGCCGTCATTAATCCGACTACATTATATGCTTTAGAATTTACTTCCTCCAAAAAAAAAAACATACTATAAAAGATGCGGTAAATATCCTATTTAATTAGTACTAGGTTAGGCGGCCTAACATTTTTTTTTTGTCAACTTTGGCCAAAATTGTTATAAGAAATCCGGTATTCATTTGTGATTGTTTCTGTACAGGAATGCGTTTCATTAAGGACTAGTCAAAATATATAAATCG